ACGCACGCGGGTTCGATATTGATGACCCAGCGATCCTTCGACGTCAAGACGGACGTATCGTGCGACCACCATCGGGGAGATTGGGGCGCATTGCACGTGCAGACAACGTCAACATGCATTCCCCATCGCACAGCAGAAACTCTTCACGCAGCAGGTGGTACGACAAAGAGGATTACTACTGGGACTGTCCCATCCGCAAGAAGAGTTATGGAAAGGCTGAGCCTGGCCACTTACACCTGGCAAATGTAAATTGTCAAGCCATGAGGGCTGCCTGACAAGCGTGGACAGGGGCCTCCAGCCCCCGCTGAACCGGCGGCCCCAACACCTGTTGCGGCAGCTGCTTCCGACGCACCACCACCTGCGGCGGAAGGTGTTTTCGGGGATCCAGCCGCCAAACAAGTCACGCGGCTACGAGCTCCGAAGCCTGGCTTCAGAGCTGGATCGACTGCAGGCACCGGCAGCCGCGACATTGCCGCAGGCAGACGCGCTGCTGAGCCGACTGCGGGGCAACCTGCGTCAAGTGGCGCCGGCAGCTCGGACGACCACAGGCGACTACCACAAATAGTGGCCAGGCGTGGACGACAACAGGGAGGTCACCCTTTTTCACCACCACCTGCGGGTGAGCCTTCTGCTCGTCCGAGACTTCCAGACTGGTCAAGATTCGGCGTGTCGATCAGTCTGCAGAACCAGCGCGGCCTTGACCCAAGCGCGGTAACGCGCGAGCTGCGAAAACTACATCTGCGATGGTTCCACGCCAAGGAGCCTACGATGATACTCATCTTAACAAAGATTGGTCCGGATGGCGCCAGGCTAAACCTGATCAAAGACTTCTGCGATACACGCCGGGAGCGCAGGGCTTGGGAAAAGCTTGGACACATTAGAATGCCGTCCGCCGCGCTACCTGGCCAGTTCAACGACGAAGTCGAATGCGACCTGATGCTCTTCAAACAGGAGCACAAGGTATTTCATATAATCGACCGCTGCATTTGATGCGGCGCTGGAATCGAGATACCAGGCACAACCTGAACCAGCGTCCGAGATGCGCGCCGCCAGTGCCGGATGCAATGTGGACCCGCCAAGGTCTTATACTCTGACGGAGATGGTGCTCTCAACAATGACACTGCAAAGGCAGTCCTCCAGGCAAAGGGCGCGGAGCTACGGATGCGCGCGCGTGGACAACGGGCTACCAGCATTGAAGCCAGAAGCGGCTTACTGCGACACTTCACGCCGTGGTGGCTGCACTCAATAGGTCAGACATGCCACGCGCGTTCACTTGGCTATTGCACGAGGCACTGTATGCCGCCAGTGCGTCTACATCTTTCATGAGGTATCTCCATGCAACGCATTGTTCGGCCGACGACCTGCAATGCTACCTGACTTGCTTGGTCTAGATCGCGAGCAACAGACGGATGCATCCGATCATGCTCGAGAACAGACTATTCGCTGGGTGAGCATTGTTATGCAAGCCACTGCAATGGCAAAGACAAGCCGTGCATTGCGGACCAAGGCGACCATCGCCGGTCAGCGTTCTTTTAACGAAGGTGAACTGGTTGACTATCATCGCCCCACAACTACGGAATGGACCCTTCCCGGTCGCGCGGAACGACCCTGACGGGGGCCATGTTATCGTGAGAGTTGGGAAATCGCGATGTAAAGGTCCAGTGCGTTGACGCAAGACATTCGCTGTACCTCGAGGCTCTGATGCCTCGAGAGATTGGCTCGGGCAACGCAGCATTACGGTTTGTGCTAGCTTTTATAGCCAGTCTACTTGCGGAGCGACCTGCTATGATTACAGGATCCCCCCCGACCAAAAAAGGAGTGCTCCAGATGACGAGCGCGATCCGATTATCTCCAAATTTAGACTTAGCTCTTCAGTGCCGAGTCAGAAATTTCTTCCGCATTGAATCATGGTTTCTGTTAGGTTCGCCAAGGACATTCATAAGCTACCTCAAGTAACGTATTTTGAGAGGTGTGCGCTGGTGCACTCTGACAGCGACGTGGACACCGGCTTCCATTATTACGGGGCTGAAGGGACTGACATAAACATTCAAGACATAACTGGATCATCGCACTCAAGAATCGTCAAGCGCCTGAAGTCCACCAAACCTCAAGCGTGCTTCGATCGATTTATGACGAAGTTCGAAGGACTGGCCGACATGCCAGCGCAAGGCAGCGATGCCAGGGGGGGCCCAGAAGCCGAACCACCACAGGAAGACGGCTGGCCTTCCACAGTCTGCGCGGAATCAGAGGCGGATTTCGAGGCGCACATTATGGAAGTGTGGTATACAGAACTACAAGACGAACGGGAAGTAGTGGAGGCAACTCCAATAGTAGAGCTCCGTGCTGCACCCACGCATGCGGCTTCTGATAACAGCGCGCTGGTCACAGTAGCTGAAGAACAGCGGGGACACCTGCCTACGCGGGGTAACCCACAGGACATTTACACAACCGAGACATGTCATGTCCCGCTGCGTGGTACACAGAACTACAAGACGAAAGGGAAGTATTGGAGGCAACTCTACTAGTAGAGCTTTATGCTGCGCCCACACATGCGATTTCTGATTGCAGCGCGCAAGCCACAGTAGCTGAAGAACAGCGGGGACACCTGCATACGCGGGGTAACCCACAGGACATTTACACAACCGAGACATGTCATGTCCCGCTGTGTTTCACTGGCGAAAACGATAGCTGCGAGTCGGATTCTATCCGAACAGCATCATCGAATTTTGGACTTCGACCGTGTCACCACTTTGCGAGTATATGCGACGGCTGCAGCTAAACGAGCTGTAGTGGTCAGAGGACGACCTTCTCTTGAAGGCAGGCATTCGGGCGAATCATGTCAAGGCATCGAAGGCCCTATATACTAAACACGGCATGGCTTGACAAGAAGCGTTTCACGATACAAGATATACCCAAGGCGTCAAACATCATGACTTCGAGGTGCGCATATATGGAAATTCGCCGAGCACGAGGAGGTCGAGATGGAACGTGCCATCAGATTGTGCTCGCTACTTCGGGGCCCCATGGACCTTGAAGCCTTCGGTGTAGAAAGGTTCGCAGGGGCGGCGCGGCGGCCAAGCCGGCGATTGCTCGCCAGCGCGGCAGCGTGCAGGAAGCAATGGATCATTGTTTCCCTTGACATCAGCGTGGCCTTCCTGAAGGGACTCGCGCATCAAGAGCTTGCTGGAGCCGCCGGTGAAGAGGAACGCGTGGCTTGCTTTACTCTGCCACTTGGCTCAGCATCTGCGGTCAGATCTTTCCCGGGATTCGAGGGCCATGATGAGTCGCGACACTGTTTACAGCGCCTTAAACCAGGGTCTGGCACCAAGGATGACCCGAGAGCCTTCTGAAGTTCAGGGAGATCGCGAGAGGCTTTGGCCATGGACCCATGTCTTGCGACGTAGAGTTCGAGGCGATCCCCAACCTTCTTGCTGCCAAACGTGTCGATGTAAACTTGGCCGCCGCCGAGAATGCCGTCGAGAAGTGCGTCGAGTGCGTCGAGGGTAGTGTTGGGGAATGTAAACTAGCCAAACACGCACATACCGACTGTGCAGCGATATATATATATCATTAGGACGGCGATGACAACGTTGTTCTTGACCACTACGAACACATAAACCGGCTCCGTCCCATCCAGCTCGATGAACTCACGGGCGCAGATGTTGAGGCTAAGGCGTCGATGATGGTCACTGGTATGTTGGTCAGCCTCAGAGGCTGTCCTGCTTGCGCCCTTATCACACAAGTGTGTTTAATGGCGTATGTTGTTGCACTACAGCGCGCCCAAGAACCGATCAATATGCAAGTGCAACGACCTCGCGCGATTACCAGGAAGCGGCAGGCCTGCCCTAAGATGATCGTCTATCGAGCGATGGCACCAACGGGCGAGGTCGATCTGCATCGCGACTACAGCTATCGTCGCCTGAACGGCGATGCCGATGACGAAGTCGAAGGCTATGGCATTCGCGGGGCAAGCCTGCTACAGGCGTGGACGCACGCAGGCTGGTAAACCCGTCGTCCATCTTGTCGACGCGCACTGCAAGTCTCATCGCTTGCAAGTCCGCTCAAGCTACTTAGTGGAAACACTAGCAGCAGCACGCAACTTGGAAGACTGCTATTCCAAGATTGTCACTCTGCGCGAATTCCACGCATGGCCGCTGGCACCCACTCAACTGAAACATATACTTGAGATGGGAGGCCTGAGCATTAAAGTCACTTTGACTATTGATGCATCGTCCGTCTTCAAGTCCTTGTAAGCCGAGTAAGGTTACATTTGTAGGACACATCAGTTGGATACGGCAAATGATGGAGCGAGGTGTCGTGCATTGTGTGCAGTGGTGCGGCACTCGCGATATGACTTGCGGATGGCCACACCAAGGGGGGCATCGACAGAGGCATGCTCCTACAAGTCATGGGAGGAGTGCAAGAATTCAAGCACGACCTGAAACGAAACATTCCCTACAGGGCTGGCCAGACGAGGCCATCTGAGCCGCCTGAGGAATAGTAAGCTGCGGGGCACCTTTCCTGCGAGGTAACTTGCCAGCGGGGTACCTTGCCTGCGAGGTATTTTGCCTGCGGGTCAACCTGCTTAGGTTGAGCCCGCCTGCTGTTGCCTACCTCGTGTACTATAGCTGTTTTGCTGAGTAAGGCCGGTAGTGGAGTCACGCTTCGCCTCCCACCCCCCCCGAGTCGGAAGGAGGCTCGGCGAACGCGAGATGTAGCGAGCGTGTGTCCGCGGCCGTTTCGGCGACCAGCCGCCCATGTGACTGTGCCTCTTGGAGGCGCACTACCATGCGTCGAGACCGAAAAGTCATCATCCCTTTCGCTTGAGATGTATCGCCGCTCCCGCGGCTCACTCCTACTTGTGGGACTATCGTTGATGCGGTGCAGCAGGGTTGGGCGCATGCTTCGCCTTAGGCGAAGTATCTGGTTGGGCCTCCCGACCAGCTTTAAACTCCTCCTCCCTCTCCCGCCCCCCCTCCCCCTTCCGTCGCCCCGCCCAGACGCGACTGACGGCCTGCCGGCCCGATAGCCTTGTCTGCAGTCCGCTGGACGAGATCACGCAGGAGCCCATGCCCGGTCCGTCCCCCACCTTCGCCTCCGCTTCCACCTGCTCCCCCTCATCCGACTTTTTTGCCTTTCTTCTTCGATGTTCATCGCTTTCCTCGTCGCCAGCCCTCTTCTTTCTGCGCGATGGGATTGCGAATCTCCAGCGAAATCCGCCCTCGTCCTCGTCCTCGTCGGCTCTCCTTGCCGCCCCACTGCCCCCGCCAACATGATTCAACATGAGTACTATTCTCCATTCTCCCCCGAAGACGTCCTGAGAGTGGCGTGCCCCCGCCCCCCCCCGTATGGTTTTGCTTCTCACACGATCGGTCAGATCTGTTTTGTTTCCTGACGTGTTCTCCCGAACCGAAAATTACCGGTCCTTCCAAACTGAGGCGTTCGCTGCAGCATGGGCCTCGTTTGAGGGTTGGGGCTTTGCTCTCCTCGTTCAGAGTGGTGTTATCGGCCCAGCGCGGGCCACCTTTCTGGCTCCGCGACCTTCCTGGTTGTTATCGCCCCCTCATTCCTGTTCCCCCCGCTCCTTCCACTCCAGTTCATGCTGTTGCTGTTCTTCGCTTCCTTCATCATCCTGTTCCTCCTGTTAATCGCCCTGCTTACCCGCAATCTCCTCCTCCAATGTGCAGCTCCACTTTTCCTGATTGTGCATCATACGATGGCTGTTGTTTGTTAGTTACAGGTCCGCTACAACACGCGTCGGCAAATAGAGGAAAGAACAGCCCAATGGGAAGGGATGGTTGGCAGGGGCATGATATCAGATATGGCGAGAGTGCACTTAATTTGTCCCTTCCCCCTTTTTTTTCCTTTCCACCTCATCCTTTCTCCTCCCTCCCATCCCTCCCTCCCCCTTATCCATTTCTACTTGTCCCTCTCACTCTCTGTCTCTCTCTCTCTCTCTCTCTCTCTTCCTCGTTGTCACTTGTTTTCTCTGGCCCACCTCGGGTGGCAGGTCTTTTTCTGAAGGAGCCCTTCACCGAGGCCGCGTTGAAGGAGAAGCGGAGGGCCAAGCTGTTCAACAAACCACCGAAGGTGCAGGACCAATATAACACGCTTAGTTCGAACTGGACTCGATATCGCCAGCGAGTGTCGACGAAAGCAAATCCGCTGAAGTTGTTCGGTATGTTGATGCTGGCTCTGAAGTCCAAGATGGTGGTGCATTTCCCCACGGAGCTTGTGTTGTTCATACATGGGAAGGTGATGAGCCGCTTTCTGTTGTCCTTAGAGACGTTCCTGATGAAGCTGCTCCTGAGCTCGTCCCTGAAGGCGCTGGATCTTCCAGCGATGGCAGGGATCGGGTGACGCAGCGCTCGGATGATGACGTCGACCAGGGGATGCGGCTCGTTTTCGGGCACCAGTCGCTGAATACGATGAAGTGTATGGTCAACCTTGAGGAGGGCATGATCTCGGAGCACACGTGCGACCTTGCGGAGGGCAGATCTCGGAGCACACGAGCGAATGAAGGATGCCTCAAGGGCATTATGATTGGCCAGTCCATCCGGTTCGGTCTACTCCGACGGGGTGCCGTCGTGGGTCAAACCTCTCCCCAAACCCTGAGTAGCGCAGCTCCTCCTCGCCCGCGAGCCCTCTCCTCGAGAGCTCGAGTGCCCAGAGCCTACAGCACAACAAATCTCGTCTCTTTTTTTGTCTCTCTCTCTCTCACACACGCTCTGCTCCTCTCTCTATCCCTTCCCTTTCTCTCTTTCCAGCTCTCCCTACATCCCTCTTTTATATACCTATACGGCACCCTTCGGGTGAGAAGGAGGTTGCGGGGGGGGAGAGAGGGGGGAACCAACATCTGACTCAATCGATCTCACTATCGATCTCACTCAACGGATCACCACGGGACACCACGGGACATCACGGGGCACCACGGGACACTTGTCGATCTCAGTATCGATCTCACTATCGATCTCATTCAACGCGACATCACGGGACACCACGGGACACCGCGGAACACCTCTCGGTCTCACTATCGGTCTCACTATCGATCTCATTATCAAACTCACTCAACGGGACACCATAGGACACCACGGGACACCTCGGGACACCACAACGATCTCACTATCGATCTCACTACCGATCTCACTCAACGGGACACCACGGGACACCACGGAACACCTGTCGATCTCAGTATCGATCTCACTATCGATCTCATTTTTGGGGACACCACGGGACACCTCGGGGCACCACATCGGTCTCAGTATCGATCGCATTATCGATCTCACTATCGATCTCACTATCGATCTCACTCAACGGGACACCACGGGAAGATTTCGGGACACCGGCGGGACACCGGCGGGACACCGTGCGGCACCGGCCACCGGAGGAGCAACATTTGGTCCGGCCGCGGTCCAGCCACAGGAGGATTTCGGGACACCAGCGGGACACCGGCGGGACACCGCGCGGCACCGGCCGCCAGGCACGACACGAACCCGAAACCGAAATCGATTTCCCGGTAGGGGGGGGTCTCCGTTTCACGTCGCACTCACCCCCGAACCTCAAATATGTGTTTATCTCAGTTTGTCATTTCCTCTCTTTCTTTACGTCTCTCTTTCTCGCTATATGTTTTTTCCTCTGCCCCTCTCTCTTTCTGACACTTTTTTGTTGTCTCTCTCTCTCTCTACATAGTTATATGTGTAGGAGGAGGGGGAGGATGACTCCATAGCAATCAGCGCCCAGCGCCCAGGATGAGTAGGAGGAGGATGAGGAGGAGGAGGAGGGCGGCGCAGGCAGGGGCCGGCTAGCAGGGCGGCCCGGCAAAGGAGCAGGGGGAGGGAGAGCAGGCGGGGTCGGGGCAGGGGCGGTCGGTGTGAGCGGTCGTTTCGGTGGTGGCGGGTTGCCGCGTTGCCCTTTTGGTGCCAGAGGCTCTTGTGGGTGCGGCGCCACGCTGAGCCGGAGCTCGCCCGCCACCATCCGTCTCTCAATCATTTTGCTTATTTCTCTCTTCTTGCCCCATTATAGTTTTTGTTTGTTTGTTTTGTTCTCTCTCTCTCTCTCTCTCTCCCCGGGAGTGGGGTGGGATGGGGCGGAGGGAGGACGACCCGCCGTTCCCCTGAAATCTCCGCGTCGCACTGCGTCGCCCAATCTGTTGCCCTCGCGGTCAAACTCGTTTGGTGTTTCTGTACCTAGCAGCGCCTCGGGTGCCGAGGCGTGTCGGCTGAGGGGGGCGGGGGGGCGAATTCGGAACCCCACCCTTGCCGATAAACGGTCCAGGCAACTCGATGGGCGGCAGTTGGAGGTCTGAACCTCGAGGATCGATGTTCGAGGCTTTTTGGCTTTCGGGAGCCCTTCTTGTCGCCACATCTGGACGCAGCTCGAAAGACTTGTGCGTTTGGACCCTGGCAGGAGTCTGAAGGTTTGTTTTGAGCGGGATTCGAGGCGACCCCCGCCGATCAACGATTCAGGCAACTCGCTGCGCGACGGGGGTAGGGTTCGGAATTTGTCGAACATGTGGCAGAATCCGAGTCGTGCCCCCGCCTCTCATCGACGCAGCGGACAATCGATGGTTGATGCGGGGCAGGGTTCGTATGTCGCCACCCCAGGAGGGGGTTCTGGCGAGATCGGGGCTTCAGCGGTGGCCGCGCTGTCCTGCGAGTTGCCCCCCCGGGCGCGCGCCTCCTCGGTGCCCGGGTGCGCCCCGTAGGCCGACGTCGGGGCGCCGCCACGCATGCTGGCCGCCGCAGGCGCAGCTCGGGCAGCGCGCGAGCGCCGGGCACGTACGGGCCCAGCGGCTCGCAGCAGCAACGCCTTCGCCGCCCCGGCTTCTCTGGACCTTCCAGATGCAGGGCTCACTTCGACTCCGACTCGGCTCGATTCGACGTCGATCGATTCCGATTACGATCCGTTTCATCTTCGGACTCCGGTTTGGACTTCGGTGTCTACACGGACGCCCTATTAGCCTGCCCATTTGCGCCGAATCGGCTTCTCCCGACTTTGATGGGCCGATTCGTTTCGATCACCGATCTGGCTTATCGACGCGATTCTAAGCTCTCCTGCAGATGGGGTCCAAGTAGATGGGGTCGGAGGATCGCGCCGCATCGTCGATGCATCGGCGATGCGGCTCGACGTGGAGCCCGATTTTCTCCACGCTGACGTCGCCGATGCATCGGGCCTGCATCGACGATGCGGCGCAAACCTCCGACACCATCTATTGGGACCTCATTTGGGAGGCCTCTCAACATCTGAAGCACCAGCACGGGCGCGCCCACGCGCCCAGCATGGCAACCTCATATTGTGCGAGTCCCCCAGGCGGCAACGTCGCGACGCCCAAACGCCGACCACCGTCGCACCCCGAAGCATTGCGCTGGTCGCTGAAAATGCGAGCTTGATGTTGCACCACTGGTCGCCATTCAAGTAGAGCGCACATCTCCTCCGAGTGTCGGCTGAATGCGGCTTCGCGCGGAACGGAGGGTCGAAACCAAGCACCATCTGAATTCCTCCATGTTCCAATGTTTCTGTTTCGACCAGCGCATGGCGTCGCCACCGTGACCCCGCAGCTCGAACTGGAACACTGCCGCACCGAAGCGTGCGAGATGACCGAGCCATCTTTCCCAAAAGCTCAAGCGCTTGCTACGCGCCAGATAGATACAACACGTCATTTTGCCATGTAGCCTTGTTGTGGGAATCTGGAGGGGCGCAATTCGATTCGGGCCTGTCATCGAGCAGACCCCTGCGCGATATTACCGCGTCGTCGAATGCGACGCGCGCCTGGGAGTGCGCCCGCAATGTGAGCTCCGGGAGCAGGAACAACCCACGCGTGATGTTCTGATGCACGCGTGCTAGCCATGTCGAAGTCTAATGCGACACACGTACGATGTGCGCCTGTCTTCGGAAGCTGGCAACGGGATTCCCGCGGGATCCTCGCGGGGCCCACACGCGTTCAGCGACGTGCCTTTTATTCAAATACGCAGTTGGGAAAAGGCAGCTCACATATCGTTTGGTGTCTCGATGTTTTCACTGGCGGGAAGA